TTTGCATTGGTTCTTTTAGTCTCAGGTTTATTAAATTCTGCTCTGTTCTTTATAATTTCCTTTCTTGTACTGGTTGGATCCTATTATGGAGTAGAAGGATATTTGTAGAGTTTGATAAAGGTAGTAGAGAAGAGTAAACAAGCAAAAGCAAATTAAAAAATAGAGAAAAAGAAAGCTATGGAAAATAAAAAACATCAAAATTAAGAGCAAAAGAAAGATAGAAAAAAGAAACATTGAGAAAGGAAAGACATGAGTAAAGAAGAGGGAAAAAAGAAAAAAAGTGTGTTTTTAATGCAACCCAATAAAAATGCCATAATCACTTAGCACAGAAGTGGAAAAGTCAGTCTTTAAGTGTATATGGACCCCAAAGAGACTCTGAAGAGCCAAAGCATCCTTGAACAATAATAGAAACGTAGGAGACATTACAATTCTGAAATTCAAGTTATACTACAAAGGTATAGTAACAAAATTAGCATGGAACTCCTATAAAATCAGACATATTGAGCAATGGAATAAAGCAGAGGCTACAGAAATAATGCTGTGCATCTTCAGTGTTCTGATTTTTTTTTTTTTTGTGGAACCAGGGTTTGAACTTAGGCCCTTGTGCTTGCCAGGGAAGCACTTATTCCACTGAGCCATCTCCCCGGCCCCTTTTTTTATTTTTTATTTTATTTTTTATTTTTTGTTCTGATTGTTGAGCCAGGGGTTATTATTATATGGTGGACAATAGACTATTAATGATTGGTATTGGCAAAAATGATTATACTTGTTCACAAGAATAAATCTAAGCCCATATGTCTCCATATCCTTTACTAAAATCAAAATGGGGCCAGCCAAATAGCTCAGCAGATTAAAGTACCTCCAAGCAGGCACAGGGGCAGGGGTGGGGGAGGTGGGTGGGTGGGTGGGTTTGATTTCCCCGGGTGTGCCCTGCCCGCCCTGCCCACAGGGTACACTGAGAAGGTAATTGAGACTGGGTGTGGTGGCTCTTGCCTGTGATCCCAGCTCTTGGGAGGCTGAACACAGGCAGATCACTAGAGTCACATCTAGTAGTGAGACCCTGAACACCCTGTAGACCCTTCCCTAAAATACAAAAAAAAAAAAATCAAAATGGATCAAAACCTACACATAAAAACAGAAACAATCTTCTGGAATATAAATTTGGTGAAACTCTTAAAGACACAGGTTTAGGTATGTATTTCTCAAATACAAACTCAGTTCTACAAAGTATGTCAGGAACGAATAAATTAGATTTTATCAAATTAAAAAGCTTCTATACAGCAAAGGCAACTAATAGCACAGTGAAAAGACAACCTAGTGAATGGCTATTATTTTTTCGAATTACTCCTCAGATGACTAATATCTAGAATAACATATAAAAAGCTAAAAAAATAGAGTCTCCTTCCCATATTAAAAGTCTAAATTTAAAAATGGGCAATTGAAATATTTCTCAATTGAAAAGAAAAAGTACAAAAGGCCAGTAAGTAAACAGATGTTCAGCATCTTTAGTGAAATACAAATCAAAACAAGAGTTTTCATCTTATTCCAATAAGAATTGGTATTATGAAAGACTGAAAAAAAAAAAGCCCAAATGTTGTTGAGGTTGTTGAGAAAAAGTAACACTTAAATTGTTGGACGAGTGTAAACCACTACAGAATCAGTATGGACATTTCTCAGACTAGTAATCGAAATTTCATTGTACCCAGGTGTATTTCTTCTGGGTATCTTTCTGAAAGAGTCAGTCTTCTTATTACAGTGAAAGTTGCATACCCATTTTGTAGCAGCGCTATTTAGATAAGCAAAATAGGGAAGTGGCTGATAGACAGTTGGCTAGATGAAGAGAATGTGGTATATGTTCTTCCCTAGAAAGAACAATGAGTTTGAGTCATTTGTAGAAAAGTGGATGGATCTTGAGATCATAATGCTAGAACATACATAGTTAACTCCAAATTTCAAAGTAAATTTAATGTTATTAGTTAGTGGGAGAAATTCTAAATCATGAGCCATACTTCAAATCTATTTGCAATGAATTGTTACTTTACTTTTAAAATACAAAGTATGATATCTTGAAAGAAGAGCATGTATAGCATCATGTTTCTGTTGAATTGAGTTTTAAAATGCAATCAAACCTTAGCAACTACTTCACTTGTATTGGTTTGTTCTAATTGATAGATAATAGTATTGGTGAAGTTACTGAGAATTTTGAGCTTCCACTTAACGTTCTTGGGCGTGTGTACCCATTTTGGGTACATAGTTTAGCAGTTACTCAGAGAGATAAGCAGAGACTTAACTATTACTTGGCAATTACTATTCTAGATCTGTGCGCCCCCAAAGCATAACTGCAGAAGACTACTATGTGACTATCCGTGCCATCATTATTCATAAAATCCAGAAAATAACACAAATTTGCATCAGCTACTGATTCACAGAAAGAATAGTACACTGATACATATTAATGTACATGAGCCTTGAACTTGTGCTAAGTGTAAGAAGCCAGTCACAAGAGACTGTAATGCATGATTCTGGTCATATGGAAATGCTACAATAAGAAAATCCATGGAAATAGGGAGCAATATGGCTTCCTGAAAGTGTTAGTCTGAAGGAACGGGACATTCTTTCTAGTATATATGGGCTTTTCTTTAGAGTGAAGGAAATATTTTGTAATTTGATGGCAATGATAGTTGCATAACTGTGAATATACTAAAAACCACTGAAGTGTATAAAAGGGTAAATTTATAATGTAAATTATATCTCGTAGTTTTTCCATAAAAATAAAAGTGTATTTTAAAGAGTCAGTGAAAAAAATAAAACTGTAGGAAAAATTGGCTCACAGCACTTAACTGTTCCTGGCAAAGACACTAAGATTTGCTGGCTCCCGTGCTTTCCTCAAATAATTGACACTTGAATTTGTTATAGCAGCTGGAGGAACAGTTTGTCCTACTGATGTTTTCATTAAAAATCTCCACCTCTTGTGCCTTGGTATCTTAATCGGGGATAGGACAATGGGCATATTTGAGCTTTATTAACAAGGTCCCGCAGTTATTTAGTTGTAGGTTCTCTGGAGTATTATTCCTCCCATCGCCATCTGGGATATATTTGACTATGTGAAAAGAGTTAAAACAGTTCTGTAGATTATGTGACCTTCAGTAAGTTGGTTCACCTTATTTGAATTTTAATTTTCTTTATATTTTCTGCTTTCTGGGTTATGAAGAATAATTGAGATAAAACATTTTAAATATTTGAGAGATGGAAGAGGGAAAACAAAAAAGAATGAAGATGTATCATGCGTATGTACCAAGTCCCCATGTAAAGTGTAATTATTATGTACAGCTAACATATACAAAGAAAAATAAAACATTTGTATCACAGTGCTTGTCTTGATGTGTCAATTAATTTTTCTTCCATTTTCTTGTGCTTCCATACAAAATACTCTAGTAAAATAT